ATATGGTCCTTGGGTTCCTTTTATTGGAACTATGTTTCTATTTATTTTTGTTTCTAATTGGTCAGGCGCCCTTTTACCTTGGAAAATCATACAATTACCTCATGGGGAGTTAGCCGCCCCCACGAATGATATAAATACTACTATTGCTTTGGCTTTACTCACATCAGTGACATATTTCTATGCGGGTCTTAGCAAAAAAGGATTAGTTTATTTCGGTAAATATATTCAACCAACTCCAATTCTTTTACCTATTAACATATTAGAAGATTTCACAAAGCCCCTATCACTTAGTTTTCGACTTTTCGGAAATATATTAGCCGATGAATTAGTAGTTGTTGTTCTTGTTTTTTAGTACCTTCAGTGGTTCTTATCACTGTCATGTTCCTTGGATTATTTACAAGTGGTATTCAAGCTCTTATTTTTGCAACTTTAGTTGCGGCTTATATAGGTGAATCCATGGAGGGCCACCATTGACTAGTTTTCTAAATAGTCTTTTTTTAGTTTAACCTAAGGCAATGTTGTGTGGCTAAAAAAATTGACTTAGGGAATGAAAATACCCAACTACACTATATATGATCTAGAGTAATAGAAAAAAAGATTACAATATTGATATTAGAGTAGAGAATTAAAAAAAAAAAAAAAGAGAGATCTCAAAGATCTTTTTCCTAAAAATCCCATTTGGTGCATTTATATCATAATCATACTTTCCCCTCAATGAATATTGAGTTTAGATTGGTTATCGAATCCGAATATGAACTATTCGGAGTCGTAATTTGACGAAGAAGTCTTGTACGATGTGTGATTAAATAAAAAAAAGGATGTTCTAGAGAACGATTCCCCCTTTTCAGTTGATTTTATTCAACGATTGACCAAACGAAAATATTAATAAATAATAAATTGTACGAACTTATATCAATCAAATCAATTTGTATGCAACGATTCGGCTTAATCAATTTATCCATTTATTATCTTATCAATTTAGGTTGCGTGATAATGATAAAGAAAGGGAAAGGATAATTTCTAAAAAAGAGGATTTATAAATGGTTCGTAGAGGCGAGGTCGAACTAGGTATATGGAATTGAATGGATATAAGTTAACTCTTGTCAAGGGTTAAACGCATCCTTATCAAATCAGCTTGAATTAAAGATTAGGGAAAAGTTGGTTTACATTGTGGAAGAAAGACATGTATATGTGATATTAGATATTGACTAGTTATATATGAGCTAAAGATATATCTAATTTGCCCTACTAATCTAATGTGAATGTAGATGGGGATTCTATATAAGTCCTTCTGTCTCATCTGTGATTGTGAATTCAATGAATAAACGGACGAAGTCAATAAAAAAATCGAACAAATTTGGATATAATCAACATGTTTTTTTTACGTATTTATTTATGAATATTAATTTTGAAAGGTATATACGTGAGACAAAATCTACTAAATGAATCTTAATATATTTCTTTTAAATACCCTACTATAACAATATCGTGCTCTGATTTTATGCCCATCAAAGGATCTCGAGATGCTAATCCACAAAAAACGAGACGACTAAAAGGCTGTCCCTAAAGTGGAGAGCAATCCTACTCTAAATCTTTGCTTTATTGGATTCCCTAAGTAGTATAGCTCAACGGTTGTAGCAGTCCGACTCAAAAGTGGAAAAGCAACCACTTACGTCGATAGAGTGAGAGATAGGTCTCATACTGCCTCTTAAGGTTAGTTCTATGCCTCACAACAACTACCTCAGATTCTAAATCCGTCTTTAGATCAGAAGTAGATGCCTCTTCCAGGGCTCTGTTTAGGCCTTTCTCGTATAAGCAGATGAAAGGAAGTTGAGAAGCTTGTTGACCTATTTATGATCGGTGGGGTTCGTTTCACGTATAGGAGTACTATATTTGTATTCCCATCCTAAAATTTTGATCGGTGACATTGATGACCGGTGGGGTACGTTCAACGTACATGAATGTTGTATTTGTATTCCGCCTCATTTTTTCTTTTTGAGGAGCTTTGTGTGTCAGTGTTTCCATTCACAAAGTAATTGATGGAACTTCATAAACTGCCAAATAGAGTGTGTCTGTATTAGACCACTACTACGTATGTCTGATGTTATCTTTCTGGATAAGGTGGTTCTGAGGGTGGAATTATGTTCAATAATGCTTGGGATCAGACCATTGTTAAGCATAGTCATCATCGGAGTATATATGACACCACCTGACTTAACTATCTTGTGGTGTTAATGAATTATACTAATCCAGTGATGAGGATTCTATGTTCATTCGGGTACTCCATTCCTCTCATTTGTTGTCTTTATTGATCATCGTCTTCTGCCAGGGAATCCCTGAAGCAGCATGGTCAACTTATTGTTCACAATGATCTTTCCATATAAATCTCGTAAGTTCGTTGTGCAGGGCCGGCTCAACAAGTTTGGGGGCTCTAAGCCAATCAAAATTTTGAGGCCCCTTTGATTAACCCTAATTGAGATTCAGAGATAATACCGTGGATTAATAACTTATCGTGGTTTTGAGTGGGAGTTTTAGATATCGACATATGTAGTCTGCCAATGTCAAAATTCCATGCTGCAATCAAATGGTCCATGGATTAATAACTTACAATAAAAAATCTATGGTTGTTTAAACCACTAAACTCTAATGTCCATTGTCAAAACTCAAAAGATTAACCCTAATTGAGATTCAGAGATAATACCGTTTCTTTGTTTCAGTGAGAGCAGATTAGAATTGAGAAGAATAGTGGCAGTCCAGAATCCAGATCGCCACTCTCCAGATCATCAACATCAAAAAAAACCGAGAATGAAGATCGAAGAAGCAAGAAGAATCGAGGAGTGAAGAGTGAAGACAACAAAAAATCAGCGATCGCTTGCTTGATTGCTGCCTTGAACGGTTGAACCCTTGAAGGATTGAATCGCATAATCGATTAGAGAAGGGAGGAAAAGAACAGAAGTTGAATCGTCGAGTGAGTGGGATATGTATTGATTCGATCTTGCAGCATGATTTTTTTGGAAACGAGAAGCTTATTGAAATTAAACGGGGCCCCTTACAATTGGGGCCCTAAGCCCTATCTTAACTCATTACACTATAAGGTCGGGCCTGTCGTTGTATAGGATTAATATGCGAGGATCGATGAGATGTGGTAAGTTGTCTTATAGATATGATATATATATATATATATATATATATATATATATATATATATATATATATGTGTGTGTGTGTGTGTGTGTGTGTGTGTTGATAGCAGTTAGTTTTGCAGGTTTAAGATATATGATTTATTATCATTAAGTTATTGTGGAATTGAAAATCTTATGTATATCACCAGGTTTTCCAATCTGATTCACTCATTTTATATGAATCTTTAAGGACTCGTGGATTTTTTTTATAATCTCTGTATCGTAACATCAAGTATTGGTTAGTCAATATTTTTATGTCGATATTCTAAGTAAAGAAGAAAAGTCCAATCATGTGCATGCACAACTAAGAAATGATATTGAACGGTTTTAAGTATCTTGACAACATGATTATAAATATTAAAGCAAAGGATTCCTTGTCCATTTTCATCGCGAAGAAATGAGATCATTGCTAGTTTTTAGTACATAATTTCATAAGGAAATGAAATACCTCGGACAAATTATTTATCGAATACAATGAACATTGTTTTTAACAACAAAGAAGTCAAGGAAGGTGGTAAAGTAGAACCAAATGGAACACAGTTAGGTTGTACGTGATGAAATTGCTAATTGGTTGTAACGAATATTTGATTTTATTTTATCTTCTGAACTTATTTTAATATTATATATTTGTATTCAATTTAATTTACTACTCATGCCATTCTTAACAAATCTTTTTAAATATTTTTTAACGTGATAATATACAAATTTCTACTTTATCCCGGTTACTAAACAAACCGTCATTTGTTATTTGTTTATGAGTAAATTATTGAAATCGTCCCTATAGTTTGATCAAAATTCATGTTTGGTCTTTAAGTTTGTTTTTGCATTCGGATCGTCCTTGTGGTTTAATTTTGTTGCGTTTTTGATCCCTATGGTTTGGTCAAAATTGCATGTTTGATCCATAATTTTATGTATGTAAGGGACGAAAAACGCAACAAAATTAAACCACAGGGACGATCCGAGTGCAAAAATAAAATTAGGGACCAAACGTGTAATTTTGACCAAACCATAGGGATGATTTCAATAATTTACTCTTTGTTTATTTTAAATACAAAAATAAAATAATCATCTAGTAATGTTCATACTTACATTCGTCCAAAATAAACAATTTTTCTATGTAACATTTTATCAATTCAAATATCAATTTATATTAACCTAGATTGGTCTAAAAATAAATAAGTTTTCTATATGAAACATTTTATCCATGTTATTTCAACCGTTGTGGATTTAATGCGAAAAAAGAATAAATATAAAGAACGAAAAATAAAGGGCCTTGAAAGTTGAGCCTATAAGGCATAAGCTAGCTATATCAATGAAATTTAAAAGTCGGTTAAATATGAATTGATCAACCGTCCAAAGATGGTCTATTATTCTTTCCTACATACTCAGATTCTTTTAACCAACTTGTTATGATAGGCCAAAGCGTATATAGCCACAAATAAGTAAAATACAACACAAGAATCAACTAAACTTCAATTTTACCTATTGTTTTAAGTCAATAAGACACGACAATTTAAAGATACACATACATCATTTATTGGATTAGACTCATTTTGTTTCTTTAGTTTCCAAACGGATCTAATAAATGAGTCAAATATGCCTAATACAGCATTTACACAAAACAAAGGTCGTCAATCTTAAAAAAAAGAAAACACTATATAATCTCATTTTAACCATTTATCATCCTAAACTTCAATTCTCACAACACACTTCCCCTCTAAGATGAAGACGATCATTAGCAAAGAAAACAAGAACAAGCAATGGTCTTGTTCCCCATTGAGATTTTTTAACAAAATTGGAGATTTTTATGTAAAAATCATGTCTAAATGGGCCAACCAATTCGAGTCAACAGGAGTCAATGTCACGACTTTGCCCAGAAGCTTTAGCGTGAGCTCGAGTAGATTGAGTAGTGGTGACCAAGATCTAGAAGAGTTAATGAGAATTGCCTCACAAAGAGGTCTGACTAAAAAGGTTGAGTCTGAGTTTCTAAGAAGACAAGGGTTAAATCATGGGTCGACCCAAATGAATGATGGGTTGCATAGCAAGAGTGTTGGTCCTATGAGGAAGATTGATGAAGATGAAGAAGGTTGTCATATTGGTGGAAGTGATGACTTTAAAATTAACCGTGTTAGTTTTGCAAGAAGTAGAAGCCATGTTGTCTTCACAAGAAAGAACGAAATATTTTAACAAGATACGATATTATTTTTGTAACATATATATAAGTTTATTACTTGATTAATTATTTAATGTCTTTCGAATTTCTATTGCACATCTCTCTTTATTGAGTCTTTCTTTCTGCATTGAGTCAAAAAGAAATACACATACATAGCTTACAAGGTTAACAGTAGTAAAGCTTAGAATCCACATAAACATTCACAAAACATATTCAGACAACAACACTTGCTGCCATTATTTGGCTCTATTATTTAAGCACACAAAATAATTTTTATACAAAAAAGTCTATGGTTATAACATGTAGCCAAAAGAATTGAAGACAAAACGGATATTAGGATATACTTGTAGAAAAAAGGATTAGACATGGAAGGAATCTACTATAGCTTTCAAAGTATTTTGAGAAGTCGGCCATTGTTTATCACTAGCACTAGCCACAAATAAGATCACAGTGTTTCCCTTTGCTGTAGCCTTTGCAATGTTGTGTGAACCAGTCAATGCAAATGGAGTCTCCAACACATACCTATAGTACTGCAAATATAACCCAGTGTTACACAGACAGAACAGAACAAAACAAGACAGAACAGAATATGACAGAACAGATTATACCGTTTGATCTCCGATCTTCTCAATAGATGTTTCAAGCAGTTCATCTGAGTCATAACTATTTCCAGTAACAAACTGGCCAAGAGAGGCAATAACTCTTTCAGGGCTCCCAATATCTTCAATTGTTGCGTTTGGTTTGTTGGTCAAACGCACCAAAGGTGAAGCCACTACTTGAACTTTACCCTGTTTTTCATTTTCAAATTTCACCTCTATCCAAGGCTCTGCACATTTGGGTTGACAGTAGTTTCCAGAAAGGATGTTAGCAATTCGCAATTGTTTCCAAGTTGGTGGAAGAACAAACTGGTATGGCTGAACATTTCCTGCACACAACTAAAATCAAAATTTTACTATCATAGAAATGCAGAAACGATAAATAAAGTAGATAAGATTCTATATTAAATCCAATGTTGAACTATGAACTTTGAATTCAGTGAGCATTTGTGCCAAGAGACCTCAGGTATACATGTAGTCAATGGTTAAGTTCTTCTCATGATATAATTGCATATTTCATTCAGATTTTACTTTGATTAGGTCAAAATCGCAATCAAGAACTGAAATTTTACCTGCACGAAGAGCTGGAGTGTCTTTAGAAGAGGCTTGAAAGAGAACGAAATTGGGATCAGAAGTCGACTGCGGTAGATACGTACCAACCTCTATCTCTTTGGTTTTGGCCTGAGAAGGTGAAGGTGAATGCAACGGGATTATGGTGGTTAATGGTACTAACAGAGACAATCCTTTGAGGAATTGTCTTCTGGCAGGAGATTGATGAAGTGATGGAGAGTCGAGGAGTGTAGGTTTGTTAGAAGAAATAGGTTTTGAAGAAGAGAAAATGGAGGATAGTGATGAAACCGAAGCGGAAGCCATGGTTGAAGAGAGCTCGAGAGAGAGGTCTCCCGCTTTAATCAGGTTTTGGATGAGGTTTTTTAATGGTCGTTCTCTGGATCGCCACCCGTTCGTATTATTGGGATTGAAAATTTAGGCAAAATACAAAGTTTTTTATTTGAAGTTTTTGTAAAAATAAAAGGAGGACGACTTATTAAGTTAGTAAGTATTATTTTTTTGAATATATTTAATTATTTATTTCGTATATAACTTATCATTAATTTTTTGCGAGTTCTTTAAAATGTATTATTATCATGGTCCATCAAATATTACAGGTTAATCTTTTTTTATATACAGTTTACTATATTTTTTTATACAATGTACAACTCTTCCTCAAGCGGTCAAGATATCCTTGTATCATCCCTCTCATTGTCATATGATGATGCGGAAGGACGGCCAGATGAACGTTTTAGTTTAACTGTGTTTGTTTCTCTCGGTACTCGATCGAGTCATTATTGTGGAGAGATATTAATAGAGGGAGCAAATGCATGCTTTTTCTTTCAATAGCTTACCAAATGACTATAGAATCATCAATATTCAACTATGCATCGATCATCGTCTTCGGCCACCACCATCTACTCTCACCACCATTATCCACCTCCAACAACAAGCATCGTCTCCCATTATCCGTCAAAGAACAATCAAATTATGGTTTTGCGATGGTTGGTTTTCCTATTGGGTTTGTCCATACACAGTGAATCAGAGAGCGATTGAATCTCAATCTAATTCTTCTATGGATCTCAATGAAGTTTGTAAAAGGTAGACTCTTGAATATTTTATGTGTGATGCATATCAAAAAATGAGTGATAGTGAGAGAGAAACAATATTGTTGTCTATGGTAGTTTCGATCAAACATACCAGGGGTAAGTATGATTGTGAAGCTTCATTGTGGTCTATTTAGGGTTCTCCGACAATGTTTTTGTTTTCCGATGATGGATGTTTGGGTGTATGTATATCTTGTCGTATTGGTCAAAGAAAATAACTGAAAATTTGATGATGGTCAGAAAAGTTAAAAGTGAATAAATGTATACAAAAGTTAGTTTAATGATAAAACATGTACAAAACTATGAGTTTAATGATGTTTTTTTAAATGATATTAATGATTTTTATTAAATAGATAAAATGACTCGATCTACAATGGTTGGTCAAAATGATATTTCTTAATGGTAAATTTTATCAAAAAAAGTGCTAAATATATACGAAAATGCTAATTCATTACCATACAAATCATTACCCTAAAATAAAAGTAAAAGTACAACCTATATTATTAATTTTATAGATGAAGTTTTTCAATTTTCTAGAACATGTTGGATAAGAAAAAGTTAGATGATAATAACTTTTTGTTGAATAAAAGTTAATGAAAAAATTTATAAATTTTTATAAAGTAAATTAAACTTTTTTTTTAAAACGGAAAATATTAATATTAAACTACTTTTAAATTATTTCATATGTGTTGACAATAAGATTTGAATACTTAACGTGAAGGAAAAACAACAATACCGGGTACCGAACTAAAACCATTAGGTTAAAATAAATTAAACTTGAATATTTTACTAAAAATAAAAGAAAACAAGAAACTTTGAAAAATTAATACTATTTTTTATTTAGAAAAGGGAAGCAAACAGGGGGGTATTTTTGTAGTTTGCCCTAAAAACAATGAACACCAGAAAATGGTAAAGGTTCAAACACAGCGGGCATTTCCAAGGGCGAATATTGTGATCATCGTCCTGTAGGAGGTTTTGGTTGTTTGAAATTGTCTCTCAATCGAACGATTTTTCTTTTCTCGATCAACACAACAATTTGCGGTAAGTTCCTCCATTTCAATCAATCTTTTCGAGTCCCTTGAGGTTTCCGTTAACGATTTAACGTATTCGTCAATGTAGACCGCATTTAGGTTTACTAAATTTACAAATTTCTCACTTCTGTGATGGTGATATCAGATTCGCTGGCGTACTCATTTCAGTTCATGATTTCGTTCTGTTCTTGCTATTGGATTTGCTGATTTTGTTTCTTATTATTTGTACGTTATGAAGCGTCTGAAAATCTCTGAAGACGTAAAATTGTTAAGTTAGTATTTGTATTAGGTTTCCATCTTTTCTTGATTTGCTTTCAATAACAGTGGAAAGCGTTTGAATTAATGACTGAATATTATTTTGAGACGTTCATGCGTACCAAAAGTCACTTATTCCATATTTGAGTGTCTTGGTTAAATATCTAGCAAACTGTTTAACAGTTTTAGTTCATTGTCTTCTACTTTTAGTTAATTAACATTATTGGTTTTTCTTTTCGTCATCATTTTCACAGGTTCATATTTCTGCAGGGTGTTGACTGTAACAATGAACGCAAAAAAATCAAGAAACGTTACAGAAAATGGGGAAACAGTTGAAGATTCAATCCTCATGACATTGATAGGCAATGGTGAGGATTTAGCACCAATGGTAAGACATTCATTTGAGATGGGAAAGCCTGAAACTCTTGTTCTCCAACTAAAACACGTTGTGAAAAAGAAAGAAGTTGAGATTGAAGAACTCTGTAAGCTCCACTATGAAGAATTCATTGTTGCAGTTGATGAGCTTCGTGGTGTCCTCGTTGATGCAGAAGAGTTAAAAAGCGAGCTTGCAAGTGATAATTTCAGGTTACAAGAAATAGGAAGCTCATTACTTTTAAGACTCGAAGACCTTCTTGAATCTTATTCCATCAAAAAGAATGTTACAGAAGCTGTTAAAATGTCACGAATGTGCGTTGAAGTGTTGGATCTTTGTATAAAGTGTAACAAATACGTAGCTGATGGACAGTTTTACCCTGCTCTGAAAGCCATTCATCAGATAGAGGAAAATTACATGAAGGTAATCCCTGTTAAAACCCTCAAAAACCTAGTGGAAAAACGAGTCCCTGTTATCAAAAACCACATTGAGAAAAAAGTATGTGGTGAAATCAACGAATGGCTTGTTCATATTCGTGGGACCTCTAAAGAAATCGGTCAAAAAGCAATTGGATTTGCTTCTTCTTCACGCCAAAGAAACGAAGACATGCTTGCAAGACAAAAGAAAGCAGAAGAAGAAAGCTGTTTAGGTCTTGGAGATTTCACTTATTCATTAGATGTTGAAGAAATCGATGATAATTCTGTTTTGAAGATCAATCTTATGCCTTTATATCGCGCGTATTACATCCACGTGTGTCTTGGAATCCGTGATCAGTTTCGTGAATACTATTTCAAAAACCGAATGTTACAACTCAATTCAGATCTTCAAGTCTCATCTGTACAACACTTTCTCTCATCCCACCAAACTTATTTAGCACAAATCGCAGGCTATTTCATCGTTGAGGATCGTGTTCTTAGGACAGCTGGCGATTTGTTATCACCTAGTCAAGTTCAAGCAATGTGGGAAACAGCTGTATCGAAAGTGACTGAGAATCTGGAGTATCAGTTTTCTCATATGGACACTGCAAGTCATCTTCTTTTGGTAAAAGACTATGTTACCCTTCTTGGTGCAACTCTCAGACAATATGGTTATGATGTCGGGTAT